TATTATATATTAAAATAATGCAATTAAATTATATTAATTATGTCTAATTAAAATTCAAAACAACAATCCAGCTCCGACGATGGCTAAATAGCCGAAACAGCGCTGTTAGCTGACACTTACAACATTAATTAAATTATGACATTAAATAAATACGAGTATAAAAATTTACGTCGTGTTGAAGTTGTCTTTAAAAAACTACTAAATGCAGAATGGGCATATAAATTTAACGATATATGCATCAAAGAAAGCCTCGTTCCAAACAATATATGTATATATATATATATATATATACATATATACATATATATAACACATTTATAGTATTATACAATAACACAAAGTGCAATATATATTTTCTCTTGATTTATGAGAGCACAATCAACCTATTTTCATGGAGTTGGTGCTAGGAAGGAATGATCGAGTGAGTGAGTGAAAGAATGAATGAATGAATTGCATACACTGAAAGGAAACACAAACACACAGAAAATTTTACCATGGTAATTTATTATTATTTCATTTATCATTCAACATAAAATAATTTATAAGTTTACCCAAACTATCAAAAACCGAGCAATCTGTGTTAAGGACACTCAAAATGTTACTCACTTTAGCAAATTATTTACAAACAGAACATTTTTTAAGAGAAATTGAAAAAATTTTAAAAAACGAAAATACCAAAGAAGCTTGACTAGTAATTTATTGTTTGACTGACTGAAAGGAAATTATTTTTGTGGTATTTACCTGTTTTTTCATCGTCCGGCGCAAAAACATCGCGTGGGGTGATTGTTTTCCCGGAGCTATAAACCAAATTACATGCAATGTTTCGTGTTCACATACACATTTGCATGTGAATACTGTTTTGTATTGGTGTATTGTATGGTACATAAGTGTGGTATTCGTTTATTTTCTTGTTAATGTTTAAACTCATGTTTTTGCAGAGTTATTTCAGAGGTGATATATGTGTATATACATATACAGTTTTGTATGGATTCTACAGAATTGTTGGCATTAATCAATTTAAAGTTTGTCTTTTCAATTTTCCTTACTAGAATTATCTGGAGATTGTTCAATTTTCATCTACGTATGTATGTTTATTTTATGTACGTGCATTGTATTTATGTATATTGTGTATAAGTATGTACGTAGTTTATTGTATGCCTATGTGTATGCTTTTGTATGTATGTGTGTGTGTTTTCCAATGTATGTTTGTATATTTTTTATGTATGTTTGTACATTTTTGTATGCATGTGTGTGTGTATTTTTGTATGTATGTTTGTATCTTTTTGTATGTATGTATGTTGAAAGAATGCATTAGAAGCGAACCAATTTCAGTCAGCAACCAGTATTCGTAGGTGTGACATTTTGTTTTGTTTATTAGCTTCAGTTTTTCCAGAGAGAGAATTTTTTTGTCACGCCATTTTGTTTTTCAGCTTAATGTTTTTCAGTTTTATGTTTTTCTTTTTATATCTCCAATGCAATTCTCTCACTAAGTTTATGCCATTTTATTTTTTTGTAGATTTGTTTATGGTCTGCTCTGTACATGTATTTTTTCTTTTTTTTTCTATAATTGTCATGTATCTTGTTGTTTGCAAGTTATTACAAACATGTAAAAATATTTCATATTTCATAAGATAATTTGTTTCATGTTTTTTGTTTCTATTAATCCGCAAGCATTTCCAAACATCGTCGTGTTAGCTCGTAAACACTTCACATACCTACATTATCAAGCATTTATTAAAAGTAAAAATAACTCAAAATGACACAGAAATGTAGAAAAACACAAATACAGACACACACGCACACACGGACATAGACACACAAACAGACGCACAGAGACAAATACACTCACAAAGACTTACACACGCAATGATGGATAGACAAACAAAAAGAAACGCCAAGACGAGCACAGGGTTGAATTTATATAAGATGGGATGTATAAATTTTAGGACGCGCATGACATTAATTTCCATCTGACATATCTTATTGCCCCGTAAAACTTTCTAAACGCAGTAAAAATAAAAACTAACGCGTTTATAGCTTACGATCATTTTCACGTGTGCACTTGTGAACATGTGTGTGTGTCTGTGTGTTTGTGCCTGTCTGTGTCTGTCTATGTGTCGTCTTTTTGGTGTTTGTTGCTATATTTATATCATCATTATCGGTAAGTCTATGGTCATGTCGTTGTTTTGGTTATTTATGATGATGTTTTAGTGTTTTTTACGACGTCATTATGCAGTTGTTTACAATGTTTATGTTTGTGGTTTTTGTTTGTTTGTTTATGTGTGTGTGTGTGCTGGATTGAATATTGTTGTTGTGACGTTTTCACTTGTGTGTTTTGTTGGTAATCCGTTTGTTGTTTCATAATGTTGTTGATTGTTCGAGTTTTTTTTTTGTGGGAATACTTACGCACGATTGTTTTGTTACGTGAGGCCACTCATTGTTTTGTTGTTGTCGCGTTCTCATATTCTTATGACGTTTTTAATTTGTTGTTGTTTTATGCTATTTATCGCTATGCTATTTGGGAGTAGTCATTCATTTAATTGTATGTTAATGGTAAATTTTCGGACATTCTATATTTAGTTGCTGTTGCTGATGTCTATGTTGATGTTTTTTGTTGATGTTTTTTATATTGAAGTTGTTTCTTGTTGATGTTGTTATCATGTTGATGTTATTTATGTTTATGTTGTTTTTATGTTGATGTTGTTTATGTTGATGTAATATTCCATTGATATTATGATATTTGCAATAGGTTTTTCATTATCACATATACGCTATGCCATTACAATCGATCACCCATTGTGTTTTTATGATCAGAAGAGAAAAATTTTTTGAATAATTATTTCAATAAAGAAAATTATCTTATAATTGTTTTGTTATTAATGTTATTATGTTTGTTTTTGTTGTCTATGTTATTGTTAATAAGAATAATAATAATAATACTGTTTATTCTTTGCAGACATTTTCTATTATATCTAGGCATTTATTTATTATCGACCATTCGTCCGTTCGCTCTATGATTTATGGCTGAGAGGCACGATATTTATGGCTGGTTGGTGATGAGTAGGTGGTGATGGTGATGATGATGGTGACGATGATGATGCCAGTTATAGTAGTGAGAATGATGATGTTTCATGATGATGTTACTGATGACAGTTGTAAAAATAAGAGATGGTTGATGATGATAATTATTATTATCATTATTATTATTATGATGGTAATAATGATGATGATGAAAGTGATAAAAAATAACAATGATAATGATGGAAGTGAAGATGAATGTGATGAAGATGATAATAGCGCTGATGATGATGATGATAACGATTACGATGATGATGATGAGTATGACAACGGTGTCTTTGAATCTATCTGCTGACTCAGACGCTCCGACAATTATTTTCACTAAATGTAATTTGACAAACGCCAAATTTATCTCTTGGTGACATAAACAGAATATATATGTTTTTGTGTGTATATATGTGTTTGTGTGTGTGTGTGTATGCGTGTGCGTGCGTGCGTGTATTATGTGTGTTTATGTTTATTATGTTTATATTTGCGACTGATAACTGCACACATCACAATACGATGTTTTCATATTCGTTTTAAATTTCTCACGACAGGTGTCCTTTTCGTCATTCATCCTCCTCGCTTGCTCCCTTTCTCTCTCTCTCTCTCTCTTTCTCTCTCTCTCTCTCTCTCTCTCTCTCTCTCTCTCTCGTCCATGTTTCCAGTGAGTTGAGTTTCAACGTTGTTGGAAACTTACGACTACATTAACAGTCAACAACACTGTTGGTTGTAATAATAGTTGACGAGAATAGCAAATTTGTCGAGAATAGCAAAAAATATAAACGATTCAAAAATCAACAAAAACTGCAATATGACCGACTTCGGTACAATGAGCGTAACACGATCTCTCTCCATCTCTACTCGATCGTCGCCATCTTCTTCGCACATCACTTATTTCCACAATCCATACTCACGTGACTACGAGCAGACCGGCCAATCACAACATCAGCCATATTTCTTCGGCAAAACCAACAGTAGAAACAACTCCCCCAACTTGTTATCCGACACGATCGGCATCATCGACTCCAACAATCGATCGGATAACATCGATATTAGTTACATCAGCAGCAACAACAATAACAACAACAACAACAACAACAAACATTTCCAACAACAAAAACAGCAACAACTTAAGAGACGTGCAGAATGGATAACCCTCAGTAAACCATTCCTCATGAAGCTTGTTGAAAAGTTGTGCCAGCTGAGTTTTGAGAACGATCAACAAAATGAAAAATTTCAATACAACAACAACAATAACATTAATAATAATAACAGCAACATTAGCAACAACAACAATAATAATATTAGCAATAACTTAAACAAAACCATTAACAACGAAAATCGCAAAAACGTTAAAAATATAGAGAGAAGTAATGCAGTTATTGAGACTAAAGTGAGTTTGAAAAATAACGTTGCTATCAAGAATAATAACAACAACAACAACATACTGAAGAACAAATGCAACGTGACAAAGAAGAAGAATAATAATGATGATTTTGACGATTCTGACGACGATGATTTTGTTGAACACCCAAGCAGAATCACATTAAACTCAACGTCAAATGACAGCTACCCACAGCTACAAAGCCAGCGACAAAGAATGGCAAGATCGAGAACAAAAACGGCAACAAGTAGACCGTTCTCAGCATCTGCATTGTCGTCGCTTTCAACAGCATCTCCAGCAACAACAACGACAACAACAACATCGTCAACACGCAGTAGTGCAGCGGCTGCGACGAAATTTGCAAGACCATTTGAATCCAGCGAGGAGAGAACCACCAGTGAACACAGCGACTACATGAAAACTGATTCTGAACCTGAGAACAAACTGAAAAGTGAGGACTATTCTCCGAACATGAGACATGTTGAGCAACAGCTGCAACAAGTTGAAAACAGCCACATGTCGGTTGTCAACAACGACGACAGTGACACCGAACAAATTGATGTCGAAGATGTTGATGAAAACGCTCCAATAAGTTTCAGAGACATTCTGAAGAATGAATCGCAACAAAACGCAAAGAACAACAACATGATTTTTACCGACAACAATTTTTACGGCAACGAGGCATGTCGGGAGGTCGGCGTCGTAATCAGCGCTGATGGAAATAATATTTGCAACGATGGAGAGGATGGAGAGGAAGAGAAAGAAGATTCGAAGGAGTTGGTGAAAGAAGAAATTGAAAATATGATGAAAAAGTGCGATCAGAACAAAAATGTTGAAAACATCAGCTACAATTTTTTTGGCAACAAAGATGCAGAAAACAAGCACATCAGTTTCAACAACCACAGAAACAACATTTTTGACCCAATCTGGAGTTTAGCATTCAAATCACAGCTTGACCGGAAATGGTTTGAGAAAACGGAAGCCATTAATTTATTTCCACTCTACAGATGGCAGTCTACGTGTTTTGCTGCTCCGCCATCTTTGCATACTCCAACCGGAAGTAAGCAGCTGTGGGCGGCATTCAACAAGAGTCTGGTTTATAAGATGTTTGATGATGTCTTGCAGGGTGATAGAGATAATTGGATGAAAACTTCACCATCCTTGCTACAAAACGCGCCACCAGTGTTGAAGAGTTGTTACATGCTCAACGTGAGCAACATCAACAACGTAGACAACACTGATAACAGTGACAAACATAACGATCAGTTGATTCATAAATGTCTGAACAACATTCACAACAACAACAAAGTTTCAAACAACGACAAAAGCTGCACAAACATCAGCAACAACAACAAAAAATCAACATACTTTTACAGAAGGCGCCAGCGTCCTATGTACAACAAACGTTCGAGAAACCGTCCATTTCCTGAAACGTCAAAACGGAAATCGTATGAGGTCATTGAAAACAAAAACACAAAAGAAGAGGAAATGATTTCAAGTTGCATGGAGTCAGTGCCGATACTTGGGGCCTTGTTAAGAAGCGACGATAGCAAAATTTACAGCAGCAACAACAACAGCACCACCTACAGCAACAAAATTTTCAACAGCAGCAACAACAACAACATTTCTAATGTTAACTGCAGCAACAACAACAACTCTAACACGAGCGACTCAAAACATCAATACGGCAATGTGCTTAAAGTGCTTTGTAACAGGAACAACCAGCAACAAAATTATTTTCCACAGCATCAACAAAAATCACTTAACATTTCAAACAACAAAATTAACAACAATAATGCCAGCAACACTAACAGCAATAACAACAACAACACTGGCATCAACAACGCGCATAACAAATTTGACGTTTGGCCCAAATGGGTGGCATTAGACAAATGTCACGTTAAATCTTTGGTTGACTCGCTTGTCGTTTCAATGATGTCGGCCGATAACCAACAACAGCCACAATCTCCGCAACAATCTCAACAACAACAACACTCTCCGCAACAACAAACGCCAACTTCAACTTTGCCACATCAACAAAATGTTAACAATCTCAATGCTAACAGCGTCAGCTGCGATGCAACCAACATCAACCAAAATTACATTAAAACTGACGAAATTAGCGTGAAATTATCAAAAGACATCGACAGCAAGACTAGCAATAACGTTAATAACGAGAAATCGGGCAGCGACAACAACGAAAACTTGGCCGCTGACGATCTAACTCTCTCAAATCAAGACAGCTACAACTCCTGCAACAAAAATCTGCCAGCAATTATGAAAGAAGAAAATGCAACAACATTTTCTGCGATGAATAAATTATTATTAACACCACCAACACCAATAACGTCACCAGCAGCAATTTCATCACTACACGCCTGCAGCACTACAGCCATCCAACAACAACCTTCATCATTATCGCCTACAATGGCAAACACAAACGCCGAAATTGCCGCTAAAACTAATGAATGTTTCACTTCTATTTTCACTCCTACTACTACTTCGAGAAGCATCAGCTGCAACCACATCACAACCGTTACTACACCTCCAACTTCATCTGAAAACATCAGCCCGTCGGTTCCAATTTCAACGCGAGATGAAGAGTTGATGGAAGTATGCCACGACGATGACAGTCCCAACAACAACAACAACAACAACAACAACAACATCGGTTATGATAATGACGGTGAGGAAGAGGAAGACGACGAACCAATCAGCAACGCGGATGAAGAGGAGGATATGGATTTTGCGGATCCCCAAACTGCAGCGATGACTTCCGGTTCGAAAAAAACAAAATGTCGGAGCAGCTCGAAGGGCATGGCCTGCGTGCAGAAGTGGAAATCTAATATGCTGATGCGAGTGGAGGCGGAAGTCGGCAAACCGGAAGTGAAAAACGATTCGTTATAGGGATGGGCGATATTTTGTTTTTCACGCCGAGTAGTTTCGATGGCGCTTCTGAAGTCATTAAGTTTAATTGTTGTTGTTGTTGTTGTGATGTGTACGTGTTGTCATTGTTGTTGCACTTTTTTGTTCATCTTGCTTTTGTTACGATATATACGGCAGAAATAATTAACTTAGATACAATTTGATATGATTTGTTTTTTAGAAATTAATTTAAAATAATGAACGATAATATTGAAAAAAAAAACAAGTTAGTTGTCACCAAGTTATAGATTCAACGACTGTTTTGATATTACAGATGTATGTAGATATTTTACACAGCTACAAGACATGAGGACAATATATAGGCAGTTAATTATTCGTTTATTAATTACTAATCGTTTTAACTTTATACATCATTACCTTTTTATATAATTTATTAAGGTTATTGTTAGTTTTTTGTTCAATGTTATCAAATGTTATTATTTAAAATGAATACTTTTTTTACCACTGATTGCATTAAGATATATTGATTTGATATCAATGATATCGGAACGTTAACACAATTTTTAAAATGGTCATCTATATGGGAGGTCACATTTTTTATCATCTTGATCTTCTTCATCACCATCTTCTTCCTCATAATCATCATCTTTATGCTCATATAATCATTTCGAACATTGAATACATACTTTATCATTGTTCATTTCATTGCTAATGTAGTATCATCAGATTCGTCCATATCATCATCATCATCATCATCAACATCATCATCATTATTTTAGTTTAGTCACCATCATCGTTATCATAATTTGAATCGCCGTCATCATAATCATTGCTATAATTATCATCCTCGTCCCAATCACTACCACAATAGTTACAATCATTCAATTGTGTTTTTTCATCGTCGTCAGAGTTTTAATCACCATCATCATCATCAGTCATGATTACTATCGTTATATAAGAGTTTTAATCTTCATCATAATCATCATATTCATCATTACCATCATCATCATCATTTCCTGACGGGTAAATGAAACGCTATGAGCAATTTATTATTATTATTATTAATTCTTTTTTACTTTTTTTCTACCTTTTTTCGCATTCTGATGAATTTATTACTTGATAATTTAATTATAAACAAACAAATAAATAAACAAACCAGCAAATAAATAAACAAACCAGCAAATAAATAAACAAACCATTAAACTGATTTCTTAAAAAAATGTACCCAACAATCTTCAAACAACTAATTGAAGGCTTTTATGATATTAATGATAAGACCTAACGACGATAACGATGATAATTATAATAATAATAATAGTAATTATATTAATTATGATAATAATAACTTAATGATAATGTTGTCTATATTATTTTTTTCATTTACCTTCAACTGTGCTTTACAAAAAGGTAAAAAAAAACATTTAGCCGTCATTTTGAACTCGTGGGTAAAACGCGGAAGTACTTTTTTTTACTATATATTTTTGCGTTGTCCATTTCTTAATTTAATTAATTGGTTGTCTAATTAACTAACTGATTAATTAATTGATCGCATAATTAATTAATTGGTTGCTTAATTAGTTAATTAACTAGTTAATTATGTCATTGAAATTTATTAATTTGGGTTTATTATAAGTCATCACACTTTCTTCCTCTTAAAATCGTTACAACTATCATTATCATCTGTCATTATCATCTTAAAAGTTATCATCATCTTAATCACCATCATTTACGTCATCATCGTCACCATCTTTTCAGCCATCATCGTCGTCGTCATTATCTTTGAGACCATAGTCATCGTCATTTTTAAGGTCATCATCATCTTTATCATCATCTCGTTTCATTTGTTACAATACTTTCTGTGTTGATCACTGACTTTTGTGATATTACTTATAAATAACTTATAAATAATAATAAGATCGAATAAAACAATTATCAATAATGATAATAATAAAAATGTTACTAATAAATATTATTATTGTTATTATTATGGATAATTAATTTGCTACCTTTATATCAAATTTTCGCAATCGACAACTTGTTTATATTAATTAATTAGTTAATAAATTATTTAAAAGATAATTGAATAACTCTTTCATTTACACTAATTGGACAATAATAATAATATAAATAATAATAATAATATTCGTTATTTTGGTTATATATTTGTGTATTTGTGATCTTCTCGGTAAAATGTTGGAAGCTTTTTGAGTAAACATTTTTCATTTACCTTAATAAATCCTTAGTGATCATGGTAAAAAAAACACACACACTCACTCAAACACACACACACACACACACACACACAGATAAATATATAAATATATATATATATATGCATGTATATATATATATATATATATATATATATATATATATATAATATATATATAATGGCCGGGTAAAAGTTGATGGTAACCATTTGAAAATTAATTCATTTTATTGAGTAATATTTCTGTAATAATTATTTTAATTTATTTTATTAATATAATATGTCATCATCTTATTAATCATCAAATAGTCATGATCATTCACCACCAGCCATGTCATCAAATACAAATGATAATCTTACGAACTAATGATATTCAAAAGGTTTTTGTGTTGTTTATTCATTATATAATTAAATTAATAGCTATATATATATATATATATATATATATATATATATATATATATATATATGAAATTTTGATTATTTTAACCAATAAATGCTGGCAAAAGACCATAATTAATGCAGTAATTTATGAAATCTACCGAATTTCTAGCGTCGGATAGTTAAACAATTTATAGAAAATTATAGTAAGGAAAATTGAATGGACATACTTTAATTTGATTAAGGCCAACAATTAATAAAAGAATTCATACAATACCGTATAAAAAATATGGTCTCCTTCCAACATATAGTATTATTATTATTATTATATATATATATATATATATATATATATATATATATATTAACATATATGTATTATATATATATAAGTTAGATTTCTTAAGGTACTGCATTAATTAAGGGCTTTTACTTGCATATATATATATATATATATATATATATATATATATATATATATAATAATAATAATTTAATGTGTACATATA